TGTTACCGCAGCACTAACGCACTGCCCGGCGTTTGTTACCGCAGTCTGCCTGCGTTTGTTACCGCAGTCTGCCTGCGTTTGTTACCGCAGCGCTAACGCGCCACCAGATGGGAACTTTTTTTTTTTTTTTTCCAACACCCAAATCGATTGCGACTGAAGCACGCTCACCACACAGCTCTAGTATTTCCACTACCATTTTTATTGTTTTTTGCAATTTTAACTCTCTTTTCTTTCTGTTTTCCTTTTTTTTTTTTTTTTTTTAAACAGAAAGCATGTTTTATTATATAAAGAGCAAAAGGAGGCCGGGAATCCCTCCACATCTCAACCCGGGGGTCTGGGGCCCTTACCCAGTTTAGGCTCAGACTGGAAACCGGGTCCAGTGTCCCTTTCYCTTATCAAGCTACTTGTAATACTTAAACTAACACCCTACTGGTTTAAGTGTCGGCTAAAAGGTCGCTAAAGGTGAGAGTCTTCCTACTTGCCCCTAGTGAGGGATCAAAAGCCCCTRCAATCCTACCCTTYGTTTAGCATTAAGAAGCGAAGGGGCCGAAGAATTCATCTCCTAAACCCTAAACCCTACCTATGTGCTCTTGCTAAGCGTCTTTTCCTATGCCTATCGCTTTCCCCTACGGTCTATTTACGTGACCTATCCCAAGTTTTCCCCTTTATTCCTGTTTAAATAAGCCTTTGCAGCTTTTTCTGCTTATCCCATTAATCCTTATTCTCAAACCAATGGAAGGCCAGTCTGTTCCCTTCTACTGTTGCTATCCTCCCTTCTGCCAACGTTTGCTGGTGGAAACTTTTGAGTATTTCCYGGGCCCGCTCCGGGTTTTGCTGAGCTTGCCTTCTTGCTCTTTGCCATTGGGCCGTAATGTCCGTCTCCAGCAAGTTGTGCAGAACTTGCTTGGCTTCCCGCCTGTGCATCTGTCCCTTTCCTATCGTCAGCTGGCATCTACGCTTCCATATAGTCCATAGTGCGTATTGTCTCAGTAATTGGAAGCCCCTTCTCTGCCCCTGTTTCCATGTCTTCGGAGGCTCCCTACCCGTGAGAAGCGTCCTTCTGTCTTCCGGGAAGGCCTCCTCCGAGATCTTCGCCCACAGATCCCTGGCTGCCTCCCATAAGTATGCCGCCTCTAGGCATTGCAGCAGACAGTGGAGCAGTGATTCGTCATCATCGTCCGTGCAGAGGTGGCATTTTTTGTTGACCTGATCTCTCTGATGGTGGCTTCAGCGCTCGTACAACCAGGCATTAACTGGGAGCGCCACGTGGAAAATCAGCCATTGCATGCTTTTAACCCTGCCTAACCTTATGGTGTTCAGTGTTGACCACGGCAGGTGAGCAACCTGTGCCCTAGGCACTTCCAGCCTCCTTTCCCATCTTGTGGCCAGAGAATCTGCCAGTGGGTGGGACCTCCTTCTGAGTCTGTATCCCAGATGGGTTGAGTAATGTAGTATGTTTATTCTCCTGGTGRCCCTCAGCCTTCCACCCCTGAGGTTCCATGCCCATTCTGCTGGGTCTACCTCCAAGTCTTCTAGTGCCATGGCCGGGGCATAGATTGTGTAGCTGTCCGTCTCCACCACCCTGATCTTCCGCACTGCACTTGTTAAGATTGCTATCGGGGTGGCCRATGCCTTGTCCAGCTGACTCGTCGTAGCCCCTGCCTCTTCTATTGTGTACATATCTGCTAGTAACCATGTCTCCCCTGGGCCCGTCCTACCCCTTATCCTGAAGGCCTCTTCCGGCTTAAGCTCCTGTTCCCACGTAGCCCAGTCCCCCCCCTCCCACTGTGGTCCCTTTTCTAACAGCTTTACCCATTCCGTTGGGATGGAGACGAGGAGATCATTCAGGTTTTCTAGCAGCTTGTGAGTGCCCTTCATGTCAAAACGAAGTTCCCATGCTGTCTTCCACCGCCTCTGCTCTTCGGACCATAAAYGTCTGACCTGCCAAACTCCATGTTCTACCCAGGTTCCCCATTTCGAATCCCGTGCTGTAAGATTGYGCGGCTTCCCTTGCCTGTCTTTGATCCAAGGAYTGCAGAATAGCGGYTGGYGTAGCACCTCCTCCCTATTGCGTGGTTCCCTCACCCTTGCTGGGAAGATGTCTCTCCAAAGCTTTAGGAGCTGCRCCCAGTAGGACCCTCCCTTCCCTTCTAGTACGTCCAATGTCTCTTMCCCCCCGCACTTTCTCCTCTGCGTCCAGGATTTACTCATTACCCAGAACAGCCCAGACATGTTGGCGGGAGTTTTGTATTTGGCCAGACTTCTGATGTGCTCTAAAGCCAGGGGTGCCCATGGCAGCTGAGGATGAGTGATGAGTTTCACCACCCACTTCGTTTGCAGCGCCTTCATCTGTTGCTCTGGTTCTAGTATGCCTAGTCCCCCCTGCTCCYTYTGCTTGGWAACATGCTTCCAGGCGACTTTGGATATGAAGTTCTGCTTGCTAGGGTTTGCTGTCCATAGAAAGGCTGCTGATCTTCTTCTTAATTCCTTAACTGACTGCTCYGGTGGCGTCCAAATCGTGCCCACGTACCACATCATGGAGAAGATGGAAGCGTTTAAGATTAGCGCTCTCCCGAAGAGTGAGGTGTAGACCGTTGACCATGCCCCTAATTTAGAGAGTATTTTTGCTAGAATCTYTGGAGCCATTGAGCGGTGCGGGCCCGTTTCTGCTAAGCTGATTCCTAAGTAGCGCAGGGGTTCCTCTGCTGTTACCCAGTGCATTCCTTCCGGTGTGCTGTCCGGCCTCTGTCCCTCTCCTTCAGCGTAGTGTAGCCACCATCCGGTTGTCTTTTGCYAGTTTATTTTCATTTCGGATGCTAACYGGAAGGCCAGCATTGCTCTGGTGAGTGCTTCGAATGAAGAGTTCGATGCCCGGATCAGTACCGTCAGGTCGTCGGCGAAGAGGAGTGTCGTYGGCAAGTGGATCAGTCTTCCCTGCTGGTCTGGTTCCGCCGTCAGACGCTGGATGGAGGGATCCTTTCTAAGGAAGGATGCGACCGCCTCCATTATAAACAGGAAGATGGGCGCTGCTAAGGGGTCTCCCTGTCGGACCGATCTCGACATCCTGTACGACTGTGACAGGTGGCCATTCACTTGCACTTGGCCGTGTGCGTCGTTGTATAGCACTCGTATCCACTTCCTGAAGTTGGGYCCAACCCCCATCCTTTCCATGCACTGCTGGAGAAACCCCCAGTTTACTTGATCATACGCCTTCTCGAAGTCGAAGAATAAAATTGCCGCATTGATTCTCTTATCCTTAATGTAGCGAACTGATTCTGACAACGTCATAACATTGTCCAGTATGAATCGGYCGGGGATGAAGYCGGTCTGATCTAAATGAAAGCAGCCTCTAGTTACCTTCCTAAGTCTGTTGGCCAAGGCCTTCGCTACAATCTTGTGAGTAAGTGTCAGCAAGGTAATAGGCCTGTAGTTCTTGATATCCTTAGGATCCMCCTTTTTATASAGCAAAGTGACGATGSYTGTGGCCGCGTCCTGCCCCAGCCCCTCTGATTGCCAGGCTCTCTCTAGGAATGCCATATATTCACTCCCTAGGAYTGGCCAATACTCAAGCCAGAACTCCCTYGTCAGGCCATCCCTTCCTGGAGTCTTGTTGGGCGTCATTGACTTGAGTGCAGCCCAGAGCTCCTCTTGGGTGAGTGGGGCCTCCAACATCTCCGCGTGCACACTAGTYACCGTCCGCTCTAGATGGGTTAGGAACTTCGATCTGGCCCCCTGCACCTGCTGTTGGGCATRGTCCTGTTCTCTCGACRTRTATAGGGCGCTGTAGAATTGATGAGCCACCGCAACYATCTCCTCCGCTGTTGACACTTGTCCTYCCGGTGTTTGAAGCTGCTCTATTGTGGAGCTCCGCCCCTTGGACCTGATTTTCTGAAAGAAATACTTCGTCATTCTTTCTCCCTCCTCCCAGTCCCTAACCCTTGCTCTCATCTGTAGCCCCTTGGACCTCCAGCACACCCATGCTCCCAATTCCTCTCTTGCTGCGTTCCATACCCTCTCGTACAGGTCTGACCCTGGGTTCTTAGCGAGGTTGGAGTCGGCTATACGTAGTGCTTGCTGGAGCTCCGCTTCCCGGGCCTTCCTTTTGCCTGCTAAGTGTCTAGCCGCTGTCGCCGATGCTCTGCTCATAGAGTTCAAGAGGTCTGGGAGGGATTGTTTGTCCGGGTCATGGTTGAGGCAACATTGCAGCATGGCTTGCCTCATTTCTGAGGTTTGGAGGATCGAGTTGTTCAACTTGTAGAACCCCTTCCCTCTCTTGACTTGCTTGTCCGTGGATAAATGTAAAAAGATGGGTTTGTGATCTAACCCACTGAAGTAAGGAGGATCGCCTATGCCCACTGAGTGAATCATTCCCGTGACTGTTTGAGAGATCAAAAAGAAATCTATTCTCGATGCGGACACGTGTTGGCTCCTGTTCCTCTTGTAGTATGTAAACTGTCTATCCTCCGGAAAGTATAGCCTATAAGGATCGATCAGGTCAAAAGAGGTCATCATGTTGTGAATTGGGAGTGCTTCCTCTCCTAGTGCGTTCTCCCGTCCTCTCTCTCCCCCTGACATCCTATCCCGAGGCGGTTCTAATACCGCATTCCAATCGCCTGCTAATGTGACATGCCTAGTGGGGTCTATTAAGGCCTGCAGCTCCTCCATTAGCTGTGCTCTTGGTCTGAGTGTGTTGGGCGCATAGATGGAGAAGAGAGAGAACTGCTCTTCCTGAAAAAGAAAGTTCAGCTTAATCCATCTCCCCTCGCCGTCATCTACCCTTACCTCCTCTATACTTAACTTCCTCCCTAAGGGGGCCCGCTTGTTTTGAAGAATTGCCACTCCTGCGGAATGAGATCGTGGAGCAGGGGCCCAGAAGTCTGCCGCAACCCATCTCAGTCTTTGAATGATCCTATTTTTGACCTGCTCATGTTCCTCTGAGGTAGTCAAATGAGTTTCTTGTAAGCATACAAAGTCTGGAGGATCCTGGGCAAACCAGCCTGTGTAGTTGACGAAGTTGTTCCACTTGTCCGAGTTGTCCAAGATCTGCGCCAACCTGTTTATGTTCCATGATATCACTCTAATCTCCGGTTCCTTCCTTTGCAGCGATTGAGCAGTTCTTCTGTGCTTCTCAGGTCTCCCTCCCTCGTTGTCCTGCATTGCGGGGTGTCATTGACCTGAGCCCCTGTGCTATCTGTTTTCCTTTTTTTGTTCCCCATTGACCTTCATTCTGAGGATCTGCTGAATCTTTGTCAATTCACCTGTGCCATGTCACCACCCTTAGCTTCTCGTACCTTTTTTTTTATTGGGTGCTCTGCTTGTTCTGTCGAACAACCCTGTCGTTTCCTCTCTGTTCTTTTTTGTTTTCCGTCGCACAACCTAATGCGTTTGCTTCCCCCTAAAAGAATCCCACCTTTTTTTTCCCCCGTTGACATCCCACCCTTGTCTGTCAGCAGGTGACACAAATAAGGAAAGGAAAAATAAAAAAGAGCCAAAGAAAAAGAAAAATAGTTGAAAATAAAAGAGCCAACGAAAAAAAAAAAAAGTTGAAAATAAAAGAGCCAAAGAAAAAGAGTTGGAAATGTTCAGACTCTTCAAGAGTTGTACCTTCGGCCGAAAAAAATATGTTCAGACTCTTCAAGAGGGAATAGAGAGTTCTACCTTCGACTTGTTTCTCAATTTACATAGGGCCTCACACCACTACTCCCCACATGCATAAAAGACAAAAAAAAATATGGTGATGTGTCTTTTCATGTTCTCCGCAGAAGAGTGATTCTGTATTTACACATTTGGTGAGAAGTGGATTAGTGGAACGAGGCCCACAGAGACCAACAAACAACAGCAATGGCCTCCTCTCAATCCAACTCACTGGCAAACACCCATGTCACGTACTCTCTCTATTCCCTCTCACTCTTTCCCTTTTGCTCATTTGTCTTTCTCCCTTTTGATTGATACCTCTGTGCCTCCCTCACGCTCTCCCACTCTCTCCTATTCCACAACTACGACCACACTCACATTAGGACTCTCTCTCTCTCTCTCTCTCTCTCTCTCTCTCTCTCTTTCTCTCTCTCTCTCTCTCTCTCTCTCTCTCTCTCTCTCTCTCTTCCTTCCTTCACTCTCCTTCTCTCTCTCTCTCT